GCCAGTGCGCGATGCCATAACTCACCGTGTGCCTGTTCTACCAGCTAGAGATAACCCGTTGGCCCCCCAAGCCAACATTGGCAGGACCTTGGTTGATGTTGTTGGTTGCTATGCAGCGACAATATTGGCCATTAGACACCGCCATGTGGGGTTTGGGGGGGGGGGTAGGGGGAGGTGCAGTGACTGGGCATTGATCGGCGCTAGCACCGCCGATTTCCCCCATCGGCAATGCCTGCCCACCCCTCGTCACCGTGATGAGGGACTGCTACAGCCTTGCTCTTGCACCACTCCTGTGGTGCCAACCTACCCTGTGGGCTGGGGAGAGATCCGGGTTGGTTGGTGTCCCCCCGTACTATACATAGACTAGTGAGAGGCTGAGATAGATGAGTACTAGCAAGGAAAATGAGATAGATGAGAAAAAAAAAAAAAAAAAAAAAAAAAAAAAAAAAAAAAGAGATACAACGCCATAGTTTTGGAAAAAAGAAAAGAAAAGAAAAAAAGTGCTAAAAAACGCGGCCAGAGAGCGAGCGCGTTCTCGCCGCGTTTTCGCGTTGTTTCATCCTCCCTGGGGCATTTAACGCCTGAATCCTGACGTGTTTGAGGACAGATGCAGAAAACCTTGATTGAGCTGCTCTTCTGCATCTCTGCTAAGAAAAACCTATCCAGATTCAGGTACTTCGCTAGTGGGGCCTACCGGTAGCCCCTGATCAAGTGGCAGGAGTGGGGCCAGGTCTCGTTCAAACTGTACCGCAGAACTCTTTCTCTCTCTCCTGCCTCCCCCTCCCCTCCCCCTCCCTCTCTGGGCCTCTCTGCACTACTCTCCAAACGTGCAAAATCTCCCAATGGGCAAAATGAGACTGAGGGCCTTGCCACACCACCCTCGAAACGGGTAAATTTTTCAAGAGCTGTCAGACGTTCTCCAGAGTTGGGTTTTCGAGAGTTTCGGGCCCCTCGCTACACAGCACTCTCGAAAGGGCGATGGTGTTGGACAAAGAATGCAAAACGACAGTCGTACAGCTTTGTTTTTTCCGAATGGCCTCAGGATAACGGCCTGATAGCTCTCGAAAATGAGAGTCCTTCCAGTGCCCTCGGGAGGACGCTTGAAAAGAGCGGTGCTGGAGGCTGGGCGTCCCTCGCTTGAAAAGAGCGGTGCTGCAGGCTGGGCGTTTAGGAGTTTCGAGAGCTACTCTCGAAACGAGGTTCTGACAACTCTCGAAAGAGTTTTCGGGCCACAACTCTCAAGTGGCTGTGTGGTGACGGCT